TCGACTCCCACCCGTCGAAGTCAGATGGCTTAAACAGGAAAGTACCTTGACTTTCTGATGTGATAATTGTAATTAGCGGAATTATGAAATAAAACGAATAAAACTTTTTTGATAAAATATATCGGGTATTTAGGTGTGCCATTACTTGTTCATGTATTTATATTTGTTTCTGAATCATTGACGGGGTTACTTAAAGTTTTGTGCCGTGAAATGAAGCTCTAATCTGTGATACCAGCCGTTCTACTGCTGTTGTTTACCTTACCAGTCGGTTCAATCTGCTTCCTCAAATTTTTTCAAGAGCATTTAACTCTGAATGGTATCCTTGATTTTTAATTTCTTAGAATTTAAAACGGAAATATGGAGGATTTCAAGTGACTTTTTAAATTGTGATTTGGCACTAGCTTACAGTAAAGACTGTTGAAAGAATGTTTCACTTCCTCCGATCATAGACACATTTTGAGAATTCAGTATTCTCTTGGAGTAAATTTTTTATCTTTGGTTACTCTAGTTTTGAAAGATAATTTCCCTTTATGCTAAAACAGTGCAACATGATGTGATGATGATGACGCAACTCCTGATGTGATTATTTTAAGAAGCGAGATTATGATGTATAAAGAATCACACATTTTTGACAAAATATATCGTGCATTATGGTGTGCCAATACTTGTCCATGTATTTATATTTGTTTTCTATTTATTGCCGTTTTTACTTATAGTTTTATGGCGTGAAATGAAGCTCTAATCTGTGACATCAGCCGTTCTACTGCTAGATGTAACCGTAAAAGTTAGGCCAATCTATTTCCTTAGATTTTTTTAGAGCACTTTACTCTGATTGGCAGCCACAGTTTTACCAACTTTTTCTGTGGAGACAAGCCATGGGAAAATTTTGATGGGACTGATCGTTCCTTAATTCGTTGAAAGTTATAATGTACCCGCTTGTATTTATTTTCATATTATGTTTATATAAATATGAATGGAAAATAATGTACCGGTGTTTTGGAACATAATTTTTTCAAGAGTTGAGGCTTTGAAACTAATTAATATTTAGTATCACAATATGATTCTTTCTAGTTGTGATTCGACAGAAACCGGCTGTGAAAGCTGTCGCTTGAGTATGTTACATTACGTCTGATCGTGGGAACTTTTTGAATTTTAAGTGTTTTCTCGTAAAATAATTTTAAAATTTTAGTTGCTCTTGTTTGAATGAAAGATAATTTGTTTCAATACCAATAACTAAATGGAGCAGATCGACGATGGAAGGATTGTAATACTAAGGCTTTGAAGTCAAATTCACTCTTCCTATGTTCATACATTATTTTCATGATAAATGATATACTCTCCGCACTCTAAAAGAAAGATCCTGCAATCCGTTTAGTACTTCTCAACTCAATTCGCAGCGAATAATGTGACTTGCGCAAAGTTTTTAAGCGTTCTGAGTAAAAACTAACCTTTGCTCTGGTTCAGGGCGTAAGACTAGGCACAAACTAGTCTGTATTATGATTTAGGTATCGTCGCAAAGCTCGTTAGTTTACCAACTTTTTCAATCAAGGACTATCAAGATGTTTATCTGGTAATTCGACGGTGTAAGTCGGAAATCACATAATTCGTTTGCGGTGTCTGAAAATCTCCGCCTCTATGTTATTATTTTAAAGGAGAACAAATTGACATCATTCTTTGAAGTTTTTGCAGAATTTTCTTCGCACGGAGAGGAAAAATCACGGCAGTTTTAAAGAATTGCCGTTGAGTAGTTTCCCGTTTAAAAATAAAGTATGACAGGAAGTCTGTGACGTCGCAAACCAAGTTACGTGATTGCCGACTTACACCGTTGAAACATAATATTTTATGTTTTCTCATTTCAAGCAGGTAATAAAAAAGGGGTATTTGATGACACGTGTTCTACTTCCTGGTTTTACATGTTAAAAATATTAACTGGTAAACAGAAACTTACTGCAGTTTGAAGTCACCAAATGACAACCCAAGTGGCACTAAGAAAAAGGTTACAAAAATAAATAACAGCTAGAACGATTCATGGATTGCATGACTACCATTCCTCATGGAACTTTCACATGCGCAACATTTTTATCAACGCTTAAGTGGTATAAAAATTTCTCTGACTGAAGAGGCGCATTGAAGGAGTAAATCGACGATTTTTGTCTCCACGTGCAGTCGAGATAAATTTTGCTTAAAAAAAAAAGAAAAAGAAAAAAAATGAGTAAAAGCCAATAACTTCAAATCTTTCTGTTTTCAATTTTTATTTACAGTATAGTATATAATGACTGTTGTTGTTACACATTTTTTTCCTTAAACCATACTAATTTGATGAGGCACCTGTGCTGTTACATTTTTGCGAGTGTTATTTTCAAAACAACCTTAAACGATGAATTGTCGTTGAAACAATATTTCAAATTGTAACAAATGCGGCTCTGAAGTAAGTAAAAGAGGAAGGAATTGACAAAAAATGATTAAAAAAAAAAAATTCTAAAAAAATTCAAAAATTTCTAAAAGATGATTATTGCTCCTTCGTGATCATTTTTGTTACGCACAGATGTCTGCTCATACAGTAGACACAAAGTCTGAAGATAAAATCTTTTTTTTCAATACCTCATCGCCTGATCGGCCAGGTGAAAAAAGTAACGAAAAATATTGGTAACAGCAATGAGCCCTTTTAAAATGATTTTACATGGTAATAATATGTTCTGTAAATCACTATTCCGTAATTTTCCACAATTTTTTCCATCGGATCGAATTCTTATTATTCAGATTTTCAAGTGTTATCTTGCATTTCGATGGTGAAAGTCGGCAATCACATAACTCGGTTTGCGACGTTGCAGACTTATTGTCATACTTTATTTTTTAAATGGAAAACTACTCAACGGCAATTCTTTAACACTGTCATGATTTTTCTTCTCAATGCGAAGAAAATTCTGCAAAAACTTCAAGAAATAATATCAATTTGTTCTCCTTTAAAAAAATGACGTAGAGGCGGAGATTTTCAGACACCACAAACGAGTAATGTGATTGCCGACTTTCACCGTCGATTTACTTTTAAAATTAAAATAGCACCGGGGTTCTATTACAATGTTCTTTTAATTTTGTCCTTGTGCATGTAAAAATACCGAATGTGTGACTGTGATGAATCCAAATCCAAAATTAAGTTCATTTTAGTAAACAAAAGAATTAGTAAAATGCTCATTGTCCCTCAGAGGGGTCCTGCCCAACAGGTCGATTCCAAAAGGGGATGCAATGAGACTATGATAAAACTGGGTATACTAACTGAAAAGAGTCGATTCGTACTCAATTAATTTTAGCGAAACGAATTTTAACATTTAAATTTTCAGGTTTGATCAGACAATACATTTTAACCAGAGGTAATATCACTGCAACAGCTTGTTTGAATCTCAACAACCATTCGCGTGTTGATTACATTGTAAAAGCAAAATTTTATGATCCAACAAACAAATCACACAACTCAACTTTAGCCTATTCTTAGCGTGACCCGTCAAAGAAGAAAAACTTCGACAATTCGTTGCTCCTCTGACGTAAGGACGTATCTTAATTTCCTTATGAGCCCCAGAAAGCATGATGTTATACGGAGCACAGGGGTCACGTTAAAATCGAGATACGCCCTCGTCGAGCGACGAATTGTCGGCCTTTTGCCCTGCCTTGTACACTTGCAAGGCACGATATCGATCATATTTACAAGATGAGCGATCAGTCTTATAGTGAGCGCAGTTAACAAGAAAATATATTCTGTTCCCATGACATTCTACAGAGTGAGCAACACTATTCGTCTTCACTTGAAGTTTATGCAAAACAACATTTGGTATAATACAACGTAAAAATATGTTCATGCATAAAAGACATATCTGCGTAGTAAATGTATACGTGATACTATATTTGTGATGAATTTTAAAACAGGTAAAACAGTGTTTTCAACTAACAAGAATCACCGCCGCACATTGAAAACCGAGTTATTTCACTCAAAGATCTAGTTTAATGAGCTTTCAAGTTTGGGGCTATTAAAGTAATTCACAGTAAATGAGATGCTTAGAAATATTAAATTCGTTTCATTTTAAAAGAGAGATGGTCTAGTTAGTTAGTAAAAATGTTCCAAATTTTTTTTAACTATATTCACAAAGACCACGCCGAAAGTTGAGCGTTTTGAGTTCTCATTTGAACGTGCATCGGGTCAAAATGATGTCCAGCAATATTCCTCCCACCTGAATCCCACTTTTGACAGAGCGGTGCATCTGACGCGATCCATGGTTTATTGATAACGAAGTTTTATTCAAAAATGGAAGATTTAAAAATTCCTGAAAACGCTCATTGGAGTCATCAAGAGGAAATCGATGGGGTTCTACAAAAGTTTTCGGTTCAAAATTATAGTAAAAAACACGCAAGACAGGAAGTTTGGAGCTCAACTCCAAAGCAAGAAATTGAGAAGGCTTTTCAAAACTGATCAAATCGAAGTTCATCACACAAATTACGTCACTTGTGTTTTTGCTGTTTCAACTTTGCTGATTATGAAAACTTAATTCTCGTTTGTTAGTTGATTCCCGGACTTCCAGCAGTGCGATTTGTTTTCTACGATCAGTTTGGAACGAAAAAGTTTTGCGCTGCGTTTTAATTGAACATGTCTACAGGCTTATTGTACTCTGAATGGGTCAGTTGTGCTAGTCACAGAATAGTGTTTTTATGCTTGACTTTTTTAGATCAGCTAAAAATAATAAAATATGTATAAACAGCAACTCCTTAAGTTCAATATTCACCGAGACATCGCGCTTTGAAAAATTCGGTGTATGACGTCATCCACCGCGGCAGCGACATCGTGACCCCTTCGGTTTCTTCCACCCTGCTTTCGTCAGAAGGGATACACACATTTGCACTGATCACTCAACGTGAAATTCGGATGAAAGCAAGTTGGCAAAAACAAGGGTGTCATTACCGCGGTGCATGGATGACGTCATAACCCGAATTTTTCAAAGCGCGATATCTCGGTTAATATTCAACGTAGAAATGTGCTGTTGGGACAGATCTTATTATTTTAAGCTAATCTAAAAGAATCAAGCATGAAAACGCGATTCTGAGACCAGCGCAAAGGACCCTGACCCATTCTCAACCATTCCTCGAAACTAGATTGAAAGTGAACTCGATTTCGTTTTCAATGTGGGAACACAATATTACTTCAACAGTGCGTGGCGCGTTGCCCGCGTAGGATTTGCAGGCGCTTTATCGGCCGCGGAAGAAGTTCCTCGGTTGCTCGACTTTGGATGGGTCGACGAAGAAATCGGCCCAGTTTGTCCACGTGTTGTTGTGGAGCGCGGGATTTGCTTTGGGGTCCAGTGGTTTGTTCCCCGGTCTCACTGCTGATTTCCGGTAGGTGGCCAGCATCTTCTCTATGTCGTCGATGATCTCTCGGAATTCGTTCCGTCGATACAGGTTGAATCTGAAAACGGAGTTAAATCCTTAGTACACTGAAAATAAAATTCTCGGCGTTTTTACGAAGGTCCGTTGGTACCTATACCATCTCACTTTTTTTTACCAATTATTGGTAATTTTACCAAGACGGACTGGTAAGCTTACCTAAAAACCGGTATTTTTACTGTTTTTTCAAGTAAGAACACCACTTTTATTAGTAATCAATTCCCGGTAACTTTGCCATTTTATCTCGGTAATTCTACCACAGTCGATAAAAAATATTGGCGTTTTTACCAAGGTCCAGTAAAATTACCGAAAAAGTTCAATAATTTTATCGAGATTTCCTTCAATACATATTTTTTTTCATCAATTAAAACGAGAATAATCCATACAGGATGTGCACAAATTTCAAAAGCATGAGTTGAATAACGCTGACTCTGCCAGATTAAATATTAGAGCCTAACACAAAGCGGAGCGGCGACGCACTGGCGCCTACAAACCTAACAGGGATAATTCACGCGTTGCGCAACGCCTGAAGTATCCCTGTTAGGTTTGTAGGCGCCAATGCGCGTTTAGCGCTGGCCGCCCGCTTGCCGCACCGCAGCATGCCACGGCGCTTGAAGCAACTCTTTCACACCAGAGGTATTGCGCAGTATCATACGAAACTGAAGGCGCTCTAACATATTAGGAATGGCAGGTATCCGTCAAAAGTACGGAGCTTTCCTCGCAAAATAAATCAAGATACTATGGCCCAAAAAGAGAGCAGTGGTCCAAAAACTCACTAAGTCCTAGCATCCATAATTAGTGACGTTTAGCATACACTTCATCGCCTGGCTGTGAGTTGCTTAGTCGCCATCGGCTATACAATTTTACGCAACAGAAAGTACTTAAATCGCAAATTCTCTACACATGCAATAGCTCCATCGCAGAAGTTAAGAAATGCGAGTCATAGACAATTCTCTGCTCCGGTATCCCTTTTGGATCATTCAAGACATCTCTCGTCAGGCTTGAGCTCTCAATCCATCAGTAACGAGGGCCTCGCCGCGAGGCGCGAATGATCGATAATCGATGTTTCCCCGCATTGGAAGCTATGGTAAAGAATCGATTATTAAGTTGTTCGTTGCGGACACCGTGTTCATCGATCCTTTTCAATGGTTTAAACGGTAGATCAATCGATATATCGCAAAGGAAGACAATTTACTGCTACCCATGGGAGCCAACTCCGTAACACAAAGACGATAACCCCTATGGAATCGAAACCAGTGGCGTGGCGTGAATTGCGATGTATCAATTGTTATGCCATTTAAACCTATGGTAAAGAATCGATTATTAAGGCGTTCGCAACGAACACTGTTTATCGATCCTTTACTATAGATTTAAATGTCATGACAATCAATACATCGCAATGGACCACTACACAAGGTACGAATTTAAGCAATCTGATACATGTTTCTGAACCAGAATTTCACGTAAAACACGACTCACACAACAAAAATTACTGAGACCAACTCCTAACAAAGATATTAACGTTTTTATTTCACATTGGTTACGAGGAATTTGAACTGCCCGCTCACAAGAAACTCAAAGCTCTCCGTGAGTCAAATTGCGCGCTACAACGGTTTCAGCAAGCTTCTCAACCGAGCAATGTTCATTTCCCGTCATGTATTTTTCAAAGTATAAGCAATTTGCTATAGCTGAGCCAAAGCGTCAAGATTGAGGATGCCAGATTTTTATGTCACAGAGACTGTCATGATAACGTTTAGCGTGCGATGTGAATTACGTAGAGCATTGAGTTTTCATGAGCGGGTGGTTTGAATTCACACATCAAGAATCATTAAATATCTTCGTTAGGAGTTAATTTCGGTAATATTTGTTGTGCGCATCGTGTTCTACGTAAAATTTTAGTTACGAAACACATATCAGAATGCTGAAATTTGTACCTTGTCTAGTGGTCCATTGCGATGTATCGATTGTTATGCCATGTAAACCTATGGTAAAGAATCGATTATTACGGTGTTCGCTACAAACACTGTTTATCGATCCTTTACTATAGGTTTAAATGGCATGATAATCAATACATCGCAATTCACGCCACGCCACTGATCGAGATGGCTTGACGACTCACCTCTCACATGGATCCGCGGAGATATCGAAAAGACAAGGCTCCTTCCGCGGCCGGCAGGGTGTGCTCTTGATGACGTCATTCGGGGAACACCTCACCGTCGCCGCCTGGCGCAGATCCGAGACCTCCTGCCAGCTGGGTAACGAAAAATTTTCCTCGAGGAGGGCCTGGGAAATCGGGCTCTTCAAGATCCGCGTTGCGTTGTAGCTCGTCGCTGTCGTCTGCTGCGAGTAATCCGGCTGAGGGTCCCACTTATCTAGGTAGCCCAGGAGCGTTGTGCCTGAAAATGTTGAGAGATTTTCCATCATTTTCCATCGCTTGTCAACCCATATAGAGTTATCGCACTTAGTGTTATATTCAAAGGTAGTCCTTAGGAGGGCCGTCCTTAAATTACGTTACGTTATGTTCGTTACGTTACGTTCGTTACGTTACGTTCGTTACGTTACGTTCGTTACGTTACGTTCGTTACGTTACGTTCGTCACGTTACGTTACCCTCCAGGAAGGGGGGTGGGATCGAGAGGAGCGTTACGTCACTTTCTTTTTGGGTTTTAAAAATAGGGACCTACATCACAAAATCGATAAAAGGGGGTAGGTGTTTAAAAATGACGGGAAAGTGCATTACGTAATTCATGAACGCTCCCTAGCCATAGACAACGCTGCCATGCTAAGGAAGAACGCCGTATGAGCCTTCAGACGTTGCCAAGTTCCCTTCGATAAAAACCGAATTTACTGGGAAAATTGTGAATATTTTTTCCCAAAATTGCTTGACTATTTCGTACGCACTTTAATCTAAAATATCTGAAAATTTACAAGAAAAATGTGCATAAATATCGTCAAAAATACGTGTCTTATCAAGGGAAATTTGGTAACTCTCGAATGTTCATTCGGCGTTTTCCCTTAGTACGGCAGAACTCCTATCCTTAGGGACCGTTCATAAAAGACGTAACGCTAAATTTCGGCTTTTTCGACCCCTTTCCCCTAATATGTAACGCTCTTGTGACGTAAGTCCCTATCCTTCAACACGCAAAAAGATAGCCTATGATGCTCTCTTTGACTTTTTCTTCCTCAGAGCCTCCGAAGCAGGCGCCATGTGGTTTACAGCGTAATGAAGGAAGGGCTAAGTATGCGTTTGACGCTCCGTCATAAAAATGACAGTAACTAGGAGAATTTGAGTACATCTCAACAGTTTGACTTCGCCGATAGATCTCATAAGATATCACTATATTTTCCACCACGAGAAATGAAAAAAATAAAAAATGAATTATATTGCAGGTTTTGCAAAGTTTAATCGGTCCCTTCCTACCCTAAAGTCTGTCAAAATCACAGCTTGTAATTTAGTTCGTATGCTTTTACAAATAAAATGAATTATATAAAATTCAATAACGACCACGGTTTTTGTTTTGCAACTTTTCCCTTGAATTACATGTAGTTATTTTTACCATTTCCTAATATTATCTATTATTATCTGTAAATTTCTCTCAGAGACTACTGATATTTTTAAGGCAAATTTTCCCTTGGTTTCCTAAAATTTAAAAATATATTAACAATAATTAAATTAAATTTAAAAAAAAAAAAATGAGAGGGTGTGCGATCCAGTTGTGCTAATTTTGCCTAGAGATGACCGATTGGCATGATGGGTACACTTACCGCTGACGTATTTAAAAGCACCCAGCCGCAGAGCCTCATATCCTGTGATATCATCGATGTTTTGAAGGACGTGCTTTCTCGAACATGGGGCTCCTCTCCTGATGCAGTTCCAGAGATCCACGCCGTCAATCTCACCGAGCTGACTCACATCTCCACCTGCAGGATCAATACACGATATTTTTTATCCAGACATATATTTCACAGCAGCCCTAATACTGCTGTAATAGACGCGGTATCAAGTCAGAAGTCAGACATTTCAATGACTCCGTCTGCAGACTAGGTAAAATATCTATTTTTTTTGCCAAGCAACGAGTTATTTGGACGTCTTTCTATCAAACAGAACTATATGCAGGTGGGAAAGATGGGGTGTGCTCGTTAGTGCTTGAGCCATACGAATGAATGGGAATGATAAAGCGCCAATGACGTAGTCGCCGCTTCAGTATAGCCATTCGTCGTCTTTAACTCATGAGCCCTGTGCACAATACACTTGACACATGCCCACGGCTCATGAGTGCCGCATTCAGTCGGCACACAGTTCCGTTTGCTGAATTGAACGTATTTCTATCAAACGGAACTATGTGCATTAAGACGTGAGCCCTGAGACCAATAAGAATATGTTTATAACAGGGCTCACGTCATAACGCACGTAGTTCCGTTTGATAGAAATACGTCTAATCAGAAAAACGGGATTTTACATTCTGTCAAACGGAACTATGAGCACACTCCATGAGCCATGTGTCAAGAGGGTTGTGCAAAGGGCTACTGAAGCGGTGGCTACGCCACTGGCGCACTATCATTCCCATTTATTTTTATGGCCCAAGCACTGACGAGCACATCCCAGCTTTTCCACCTGCACATAGTTCTATTTGATAGAAATCCGTCCATTTTGCCGCAGATTTATGGAAATTTCAGAATCTTTGGGTTCATCAACTTTTTGAGGGAATAGCAGGGTCAACGGAAAAATAGATGTTCAAGTACTACGTAACGCACTTATAGGGGAGGGGGAGTTTACGCCAGCGTTACGGTTCTTTACAAGGTGGGAGGGGAGGTCAAGTCCAACGTTACTTAACAAATCCAAGCCAGGGTGAAAAAAACTTTGATAAAAATATACCAAAAATTGAAAATCCCGCCCATAACAAAATTTTAAGGAAATTAAAAATTTTGTCTCCTCGGACATTCTTTTCCTTTTTTATTTCACCATTATTTATGCACTGGTAAACTTATTAAAAATATTTCAAGTGCACTTTTTCGGTAAAATTACGAATATAACATATCTATTCGTGTATTTTCCCATCATTGTTGATCTCTTCCCGTCGTATTTCAGCGCACTATCTTGAAGAAAACCGCGTTTTTTTCCAAGCTGTTTTCTCGGCGTTTTCTTGATTTTTTCAAAATGGGGGGGGTGGTTAGGTCAACGTTACGTATTCAAAAGGAGGGATGAAGGGCTGCGTCACGGGTGCGTTACAGAGAGGAGGGGGGATAAAAAACTTGGAAAATGTACGTTACGTAATACTTGAACGGTATCGGAGGAGCAGTTACCTTTTCGGACACCATCGGATGCCTCTCGTTATAAAGGTCCATTTTTTTTACAGTTCATTTTACTTTCCTCCCAGGATTTTACAAAAAAAAGTAAAAAAAAAAAGAATCAAATCGGTAAGGAAGTATCTTTTTTCTCTCTTGTCGTCTTGGGATGAGGCCTTATTTGTTAAGTCTTGGGCCCCCCAAGTATAATTCTCGCCACGAAGTCGCCCAATGGACCATTAGACAAGGTACGAATTTAAGCGATCTGATACATGTTTCTTAACCAGAATTTAGCGTAGAAAACGATTCACACAACGAAAATTACGGAAACCAACTCCTAACGAAGATATTAACGTTTTTATTTCACATTGGTTACGAGGAATTTGAACTGCCCGCTCACAAGAAACTCAAAACTCTACGTGAGTCAAATCGCCCACTACAACGGTTTCAGCAAGCTTCTCAATCGAGCAATGTTCATTTCCCATCATGTGTTGTTCAAACTATTAGCAATTTGCTATAACTGAGCCAAACCGTCAAGATTGAGGTTGCCAGATTTTTATATCGCAGAGACTGTCATGATAACGTTTAGCGCGCGATGTGAATCACGTAGAGCATTGAGTTTTCATGAGCGGGTGGTTTGAATTCACGCATTAAGAATCATTAGATATCTTCGTAAGGAGTTAATTTCGGTAATTTTCGTTGTGAGCATCGTGTTTTACGTAAAATTTTGGTTAAGAAACATATATCAGAATGCTGAAATTCGTACCTTATCTAGTGGTCCATTAAATGAAGCTTAACCAGGTCTCTCCACCCTTAAAAATTATCACTTCGCATTTTCCAAGGACTTAATGTATATTTTAAATTGAAGCAAGGTTTAAACATTAAGGTATACATATTTTTAATACATATTATGACCTACTTTGTTACTTATAGCTAAATATTGTACAATATGGTCAGCAGCATGGGTATCTTTGTTAGAAAGTAGAGATTTAAATATTCATATTGAGGAATTGAAAAGCAGGTATTATTTCATAAGCTAAGTACACATTTATTATTTAAAAATAAACCCCAGAGCTTATGCTCGTACATAAGTTTACAAATGAACCTTAGAGTTCATTTTGTGGCTGTAATGCTAATTTTCTTACTTTAATATCCTCGCAGGGCTTATTGTGGGTCCAGCACGAGTTTACTATCCTCTTATTTGCATATTGTTTACATCTTTATATATCATAAATCAAGGGTTGAATTTTTGTACAGCTTGTCTTAGGGCACAGCGCCATCCATATTCCTCAGAATTTTCATGTCGAAAAGCATTTGCTGTCGATGCAATTGTTTTTAATATCATCCAGCCCAAAGACTGGAAGGACGAATACATCGGTCAACATGCTCAACAAATTTTGAGACACGACTTCCTTTCAGTAAATCAACAGTGAGCTCCACAGCAAACGCTATACAACTTAAACTCCAGCCTATGCCGAGACCCAAAAAAGCCGGTTGCAAATTGTGCATCGTAAACGCACTCGGTTGGGGATCACGGTTTTTTCTGCTGCCTTCTAGGAGATAATCATCGACTAAATCTGCTTGTTCTATAAAGTGTTGGGTGAGGCCCACCTCCGTGTACAAAGCTAGCCTCCATAAGAACAGATCGGACAAGAAAGAGTTCCTTTGAACGTGGGGAAATATCGCGTAGCTCAGAATGCACTCTTCTACCAGATGGAATTCTGTGATCATTTCCTTGAACAAGTGTTGATAAAGGTTAATGCTACCTCGATGTTTGTCCTGCAAATTTGAAACCGTTATCTCAACCGCGTATGAGTGCATAATCGATCGTAAATTGTTTGAGATTTCAGAGACTTTCCTCACGTCTGAACCCATAATTGAATCGGCGTTTTCTAGCATCCAGGACCAGGCAGCCGTGTTGGTGTAATTGAAAAGGAATAAGTTATCCTTGTTCTAGCCAAACTTGCTCGTAGTTGAACAGCTCTGCGGTTAGTTTAGCCCGCAGGGATTCGTGAGAGGGGTCATGTTGCAGGAGCTCCGAAGACGTCCCCAAATCAGGTGTCTGTATTTGCAGACCGGAATTATCTAGTTCCTCTAAGGTGTCTATCTCCGGGTATCGCACCTGCTTGGAAAGTAAGGTCGTCATCTTGCTCTGAAACACGGTGACGATGATCAAAACGAAGAGAGACACGACTAAAAAAAGGATCTTCCCCGTTACGACTCGTCCGAGGAGCACCTTTGCCGGTCTTCCAACCATCAAGTACGAGTAGACGTAGAAGACCACATTCGTATTCGCAAAAGAACTCCGCTGTGCGGGCGAGTAGAGCCGGTCGAACAGTGTCCTTTGAGAATGATGGACAGCGTACAGGGCTGAGTAAATCGTGAGCATGACTATGAGAATAACCGCCCAGGTTTGCGAGGAGAAGCACTTGAAAGGCAGGAGAGACGGCGATATGAAACTGCTGTGCGGCGTGGCGAAACAGTAGGAGGCAGTGCGGCTAGCGACGGCGAAATCGAACATGGAGGGGTCGTTTCCCGGAGCGATGGTCCCGTCGAAAATGAGCATGTCGAAATTGCGTCTTTGGGCCTCCTCCGCGAAATTGATATATTCGCCACCCTCTGGCATCCTATAATGCGCAGTGACGAGTACGTCGCATTGTAGATCCCTCGATAGGTCGCGAGAGACCTCGTGCAAGGCGTTGAGCGATCCCCAGGATAGTTCCCCTTTGTACCTGTACACCTCCGATTTGAAAACGAACGCCACGTTCAGTTCCCCACGCGGCTCCGGTACGAAAAAGAAGTAACTTCCACTCGTTATATCGATCGTTTCGATTAATTTCATGAATGGATCGTATCTATGGCAGATGTGTCCCACGCAGACGACAGTTCGGAGACCTCTGAAAAAGCGCCAGAAAAATCTGAATACGAAATGCAGTCGATGGTTGACCTTTTCATCGGCAGACAGCATGAAAATGATGTAATTGTTCGAGTTCCAAACGCTGTTGACCAGAAGACTCTTTGTGAGGTTGAAAACTGGGTCTGTCAAATCCAATTCACCGCTAAGCTCCGATGGGTCGATGCGTATATCGAAATCACACGTCACCGTATCGGGTTCGTTTTGCTCGTCACGGACACAATAGTTGGGCAACTTTCGTGAAACGTTGTTCGGAACTTCGCTGGATGGTAACCTCGGAGCTGAATCTAGGATCAAACTTAGTATCTCATCAAATTCGTTGAGGAATATGATTAGATTCTTCGGCGTTTTTCCGACTAGCGTGCGTTGCAAAAGACTTTGATGGGCAATGGAAATCGTCTTAATCATGTTTTTGTGTAAATGTCGGATGAGATCGTGATCTGCGAAATCTGAGTTCATACTCAGCACGTGAAATGTAGTAATTTCGGAGAACTCTATGGTGCGCTTGCAGACGGCAAGTGCAGATGAGAGGAGTTGTTGCCTAGTATCATTGCCAGATAAATGGAGGGCCTCAGGTTGTGAGTAAATCCAGGCAAACTCTAAATAGAGAAATGCTTTCAGTTGAAAGCTTTAAATTCATTGTTCAAAGTGGCGAGTAAACTCAATTAAAGGCGTAGAAGTGGTGTGAATCAGACACTTGCAATTGCAATCAAGCTCTAAGTTATTTTAGTCTCTTTAGTTACCATGAAGTAAGAATTTTATCGAATTATGATTACTGTCGGTATGAATGAAATTAATGTGTGGGGCGATATTTAGTACATTCGAGTTTTGAAGAATATATTTTCAGGAGAACTTTTTGTTAAAGGTTGGTTATAGTTCTCTGTTATTTATGAGTCGAGGTTTATATAATATGGTTGTGAGCGAGACATCATAGTATAGGCATAAAAGTTTTCTTTCTACTGAATTTTTTTTTGTCGAAATAAAAAAGTGACAATTTTTGTTAAAAAAAATAAAGCAAATTATTGTAGGCTTGCCACACGCAAGCAAATTTGTTTTCTGGTGAATTTCATTTGATACTTTGAACTTTCTTGGCTATTAAATATATTACAGATTATCAGTGGAAATGATGAGCGATGAAACAGCCCAAAAACAACGAAACAAAATCTTCTGACTTTAAATGTTTAACCCTCGTCACATAATTTAACCTTCTTTCCGCCTCATAAATTTTCTGATTATTGATGCTCGTTAAATTTTGAAAATCAGCCTCTGAGGGAATAACTTCCAATCGACCGCACTTGTTAGCTGAAAAGTTGACTGCAACGTACAGGCAATTATTCTCTTAATGTTAGAGGAGAGATAAAAAAAACACCGAATTATTATTTCCAGACACTAAATTAACAGACTAATGTAATCATTTCTTCAATTTTGGAAAATAAACTGTTAACATTTTCAATGAAATTTGCTGACCTATTTCTCGGTGAATGTTTCGGAGGTTGCACAATAGAGACCACATTTACATTGTATACATTCCTCGTGAATTGAGTACATAAAAATCCACAATTGAGCATTATATTGATATTTAATTCAAACATGTTCGACTTTCCTCGACGAAGACGCACTATGATATTTATCTGAGGTTTTTCCTGTCAAAACACTTCAGCAGTGACCTACATAAACATTAAACTAAAATAATTTTCAAAGGAAGATTGAGTGTTTATACTTTTAACCTACCCGCAGAAAAGGCTCTTCAAGAAATGCTAAACTCACCTGCCGCGGAATATAGTGTAGGCAACCAATCGCCTATGTACACAAGGTCGGTTGAGACCCGATGAGGTTTCATGATGTAGGGGCTCCACACACATGCAATTGTCCTCAAAGCACCCTCCCACGGTGTTCCTTTTTCCTGTAAAATCATCCCAATGCACATTATAGAATTTTCGCACGATTCACAGGATTTTATTCCATCGTTCATCATGACAGCTGAGCAAAAAATATTAAGATCTATTTGAACCCCTACCTGGAGCGAAAATGATTGGTTAATGTTGAACACATAAAGCCCGCTAAGATGATCGAAAATTGGACGTATTTCTGTCAAACGGAACTTAGCGCCACAGGGTGAGGAAGGTAGAGGGGGGCTTGGATTGGCGGGAAACTGGGCGTCGGGCTCATTCGTTCCTTTACTCGCAATGATTTTCCATGGCGCTTAGTTCCGTTTGACAGAACGCGCTATCCGGTATTCTAAATTCCTCAAAAGGAACTCAAATTGGCACTTAGTTCCAGTTGACAGAAATACGTCCAATTTGGTTACAGAAACCGAGCTTTGGTTCACCTCACGAAAATGCGGTTCTATGACTAAAAAATTCGGTCACGTGAACCAAAAAAACTTTATTATGTTCAATATGAATCAACCACATTACAACGAATCTGGGTATTTATAAAACATTTTAAGATCATTTCGTGCAATACACAAGTACGCACCCTTTCACCCTCCTCCACATCTAGAAGGAAAAAATAAATAGGACATCGAAGTTAACTTTCTGTAACCGGGATGTTTTCCTAGTGTAAATGTAAAATCGATGCAAAATTGGGAAAAACCTCGATATGAACTAATGTGATTCGATCGACACCGATTCGATAAAAAGAAACCACGTGAATCGATCGGGAAAAGTATGAATCAATCGACAGACCCGTAATTCGATTGACAAACTCGTGAATAAATCGAGTTTTGTCGATCGAACCACGCGTCGATTCGGTTTAACGTTTCTATAGATTCATATCGATCGAATTGATACCGGTTTTTTAATGATTTGTCGATCGAATCGGCATCAATCGATTCAAGTCCATCCAATTTATACCGGTACAACCACCTCAGTGTGATAAAAAACGACAGCGCTTGACTGTACCCAAAAAGATATGACATCAGGAAGGAATCGGCGCACAAAGGATCGAGGCAATAAGAAAGATCGGGCAAAATTTGGAAACTTTAGAAGCTTAAAACTCCGTTTATACAAAACTTTGAGGTTCTAAAAGTGGCTCCATTGGTTTCCTCGTAAAATTTTCTACAGGGAGCACCTCTTCAAATTTAAAATTTGACGAAATAAACGTCAAAATTTGCAGTTTTAGTCAAAAATTTCATGTTCGACCTCTCTAATTGACTCGATCCACTGTGCGGCGAATATGTTCCTTTGCGAATATACCGCGCGCGAAAACCTTCGTCGCAGTGCGAAAGAATCTCAAAAGCATAGAGAAGTTGTTAAGTTCAAAGCTTATCCGAATCGGCAGATTGAGGTGTGGGTAGATAAGCGGAAACGAATGGAGGGGTGGGAACGAGAGGGGGCATAGAAATAGAAGAAGTGAGCGCTCCAAAGTGAGAGAAGGTTCTCGCGAACCTCAAACAACTTGCGATCGCATACAAATACTCGCACATTGGTGATGGATCGATTCGTAGGAGTGTTCGCGGAACTTGAATTTGTATTACAATCCGGGAGGGATTAAAAACGCCTTCATTCTGACTCGTATGCAATCGGATGACAGTAACATATTTGCGGAGCTATTAGTTAGAGAAGCTGAATTCGTTTCCGAACTAACTTTCTGCTAGTTTCAGAGCGTCTTGATGCTGGTTCGCATGAATCATTCACTTCATTTGCTCGCATAAATATCTCCGAATTTTGTTGAAGGGACTTATTTAGCACAAGAGCGCTGTGTGGAATGGAGACGCCATAGGAAATTCAAAAATTGCCAATATCTATATGCAAAGTATAAAGATTCCTCTTTTGATAGACTATGCCAATGTAAACAAAATTGGACCACGTTAAACAGAGAGGAACTACTCCACTAGGTTATTGCCAAATTTGATTAGGCAATTTAATTTTTTAAATGAAAACAGTTGTGCGGATTTTTGTGCAAATTTTAATGAATTTTCTGCATAGAACGAAGGGAATTCCTTAAATTTTTAAAGGAATCCGCTCAAACGTTTTGTTTTGAAAAGGTAAATTGCCCAGTTTAATTTGACAATAGGTAACGAGGCTTGATTCCTCTCTGCTAAACGCGGTCCTATCGCAGATGACTTGGGTGATAAATCGTCGTCCCTTTAACGCGAGGGCGTATTTTCATTTCCTCATGAGCTGCGGAAGGCATAAAATTACTCAAACACGGAGAATAGGACTCTGATGGGAATGGAGACACGCTCTTACGTCAGAGGAACGGCGAAATACGGTGTCTTAATGTAAGTTCTTAATCGCGAAGACGTCACCTCGATACCTATTACAACTATCTGCCATGATAGCGAAGAGAGCAGTAAGTGTCAAAATCGAGTTTCCCTAAAAATTCATCAATACTCTTTCACATGAAATCACTGGAATTGCTAAAAATGTCAAATTCATCAAACTTGTATCAAAACGAGACATGAGAGAAAGCCGCAAGTGCGCAAAAAATGACGTAGTTGTAGGCAAAACAGCAGTATGTGACTATATTCCTCCAGAGAGCCAATGAAAACATTGTTTTCAAGTTAAGTGCCGTCCTCTTCTGTGAATTTCTAACCTGAAGATGTGTTTATTATGTGTCCAAAACGTAATCACGAAAGCATCCAGAGGATAGCACTTACAGCTGTCTTGCCCTAACATTAACCAACAATGAAAATGAAAAATACCCTTTTTATGTAATTGAAATAAAATCAGTCGATTTTTAACTATCCAAACGATATCTAAGAGTCTTTCGAAGATTAGTGGCAATTTGACAAGGAACGGAGGCTTCTCTGAATACAATTTTCCGGTCAAAAGCTTCTGAGCCCGTTTTCTCAAAACTTAATTTTTGCACTTACTGCTCTCCTCGCTATCACTGCAGCTCTGTGTGCTCAATGTTCTAAGCGGACAAAACGAGACATGGAATAAGAGCGTGGAGAGAAAACTCACCCCTTTCAAAGGCCAGTTGTTGCCGTGGTTGACATGAAGGCCGGTAGAGGGCGCGCCGTTGTCCGAGAGGAGCACTATAATCGAGTCCTGGAGCATGTCGTTCTCCTTTAGTGCCTCGATCACCCTGCCCACAGAATCGTCAAGATGGGACACCATCGCTGTGTGACCGTACAGAATTCTCAGCCTCTCCATTTCACACACGGGGTTCAGTCAGTGGCGATTTTGCAAGTTGGCAAAACTGTTTTTTTCCCATTTAATTCCATAGAAAATATCGATTTTATGTACACATGTAAATGAAGGGTAAACAGTGTTGCCAACCGTCAAGAATTGCCACTGACGGGGCTTAAGGTGGATCTTCAACATTTTTAAGGACGAATCGATATTTGATAGATCAATTACCAGTATCTGGATTTTAGGAGATTTCTGGAAGAATTTCTGATCTTCATATCACATCACGCATCAGTACGTCAGGTATTTTTCATAACATCGGGCCAAAAATATCATTTTGAAATAGCTCTTAAGTATTGATCGAGTATCGAAACGTTATTAAAAGTGCTGCAAATTCACTTTAAGTGGATTTACACTTCATTTTTCAGCATACATGGATACCGCATCGATTAATCCAATTATATAATGCCATAAGGAACTATTGTTTTCGGGTAATTTTAAAAATAACATATGTGCTTCCAGGTTTTCTTGGTACATGGATGATTTTATTAAATTAAGAGTAAAAACTGATGCAAAAAATGCAAATGAAGAAATGATGGTGGTCTTTGAATGCAAAAGGATGTTCAATAAAACTACTTTTATTACTAATTATATCACAAACCCGGTTTTGAAATATTTCGTGGAACAGGGTGGATCCCTAAATTCTAAAGTTTTTATTTCAAGTAGAAATTGTCTTGATAGAATATACCTTTGTAGTTTTGGAACGTTGAATTCAATTAAGTAAATCTACCTCAAGCACTGGCATGAACGGAAAATTTTGATGCTGTTAGCATATTATGTTACTGTTGTGGTATACTATATTTAATGAAGGGGTTTTTTATGCGTTTGAAATTACATCACAAAGAATTTGTGCCTCCATTAAAGCTTTCGTTTTCCACGCAAGATTTTGAAGATAACACATACATACGAAGTTTTACTCTGTTCAGACATATCGTATATTGGTCTATTTCATCTTATATTGTCCTTTAGCATATCCCTAAATCTTTTCTCCACTTGCCAATCCTATCCATGGGTGCCACTTTCCTTAACCACAGCGCTAAAAATCCTCATTTTTTAAATGGATCAGTTTCGCTGGTCACAGAATTGTGTTTTGATCCTTGCTTCTTGTAGATTAGATAAAAATATTAAGATCTGTCCAAACCGAAACTTTCTACGTTCAATATAAACTGAGATGTCACTCTTTGAAAGGTCGGAATTTTGACATCATCCGCCGCGGTAGTGACACCTATGGTTTCCTCCACCTTACTTTCATTCGTGTTTCACGTAGAGTAACCAGTGCTAACGTGTGTCTCCCTGACTGATAAAGCCAAGGTGGGAGAAACCAAGGGTGTCACTACCGCGGTGGATGACGTCAAAAACCCGACTTTTCAAGGGAAGATATCTCGGTTAATATTGAACGTAGAACGTTGCGGTTCGGACGGATCTTAACATTTTTAGCTCGTCTATTAGAATCAAGCACCAAAACACAATTCTGTGACCAGCGCTACTGACCCATAGAGTATCTGTATTGAGAGAGTATGGCTACTGGTGTTACCACCTCTAATTGGCTCAGCCATCTTAGGCTGAATGGAGCCCTTAGGACCCAAAAATGGTGGACGCCATAAATTAATGTAATGTAAAATGACTCAAAATGTAGTTTTCTTTGCTTATCGTGACGAGAAATTTATCCAAATGCACTATTGCGACTTCTTTACATATTTTTAAGGCTAAGCGTGTGCAATTTTTGAGAAAAATTATCTTAGATGTTGAAAGGTTGGCAGCAAGTGCGGTTGGTGAAAATCGTCAAAAGTTGGCGATGGCCCCCCTCCCATCCACAAAAACCAAAACAAAGCACCGCCATTTTTGGGTCCTTAAGCCTCGCCATGGGGCCCAGTGGCCATATACTCTCTCAATATAGGTACTCTATACTGACCCATCGAGCTTTTGAGATTACTCACCGGCATATATCCTTCTGTTGGGGTCTTTGATGTGCTTGAACCTAGCGATGTACTCTTGGGGTGCCTGGAGGGGGTTCTCATAGTTCCCAGAGTGGACAGCCGCATGGGAGAGGTACAGGAAGAAGGGTTTCGACTTGTCATGCCTCTCGATCAGTCGCTGCGCCTCGTCTGTGAACAGCGTGGTGGAGTGGTTGCCTACCATACGCACCACTTCCATGTTCCGCCGTAAGTCGTAACCCTCGTATGGTGCAAACTGGTGATAACAGACATGAAACATAATGAACATATTTCATTCGATGAAAAAGATGAAAAAGTATACCGAAACACGCTTATTGTTGAATAAGGTTTAATGGCTTGGATGCATTTCAAGCTTAACCCATCTTCAGCAAGCCCTTAAAACAAAACACAGAAACAAGATAATTACAGTAAAGAATTGTCACAATGCATGATGGAGAAGAATATCGAGAGGCAAAGCGAACTAAAACACTTGGGAACTGGTCAAAAATGAAAAAATGTTAAAAAATGTTAAAACCAGTGGGAATAGCTGATAGAGTTAGCAGAAAATATAGTAAACAAAATGACTAAAAAAAAAGCCATTAAACCTTATTCAACAATATGCTTGTTCCGGTATACTTTTTCATCTTTTTCATCTTTATCATAACAGCACGCGAGATGTGTTTTTCCAGTTATATTTCATTCGCTATCCACACGAAGAAACAACAGTGGTTGTGATATGAACACTGAAAAAAAAAAAGATTGGTAGAATTTGCCATTCCTTCACGCTGTATTTCACACAGCGTGAAGGAATGGTAAATTCTACCAATCTTCAAGTCGATTCGGCCAGAGGAATGGTTACCTGTACCAGTACATAGTAACGTTTACCTTTCTCCTGGCAGAAATGACTTTAAATTGTCGCTGTGTGAAATACAGCGTGAGCTAATGGTAAATTCTACCAATCTTTTTTTTCAAATATATCAAAAAAATATTTCGAAATATCGAAAATTTACGACGCGATATTTTCGTTTCAATTTAAATAATTTCCGAGTCTCTGAATTGTCACCATGAGGCTACATATTTTATCTTTAGTAATGGTAAGAACTGGAGCAGAAAATCAAGAATAATGGCACGCAGTCCTACATCATTCTTGCGGTCTTATAAGCGCCAATATGCGTTTCACGCCATCTCGTCGACCGCACTGCGTTTGGCGCAATGTGAGAAGTATCCATGCAGTCTTGTATGCGCTAATATGAGCCGTGCGCCGACCACACTGCTTGGTCCAATGCATGATGTATTCCTACGATCTTGCAGGCGCTAATATACGTTTAACGCCGGCCGCACTGTGTCTGGAGCGATTATTCGAACTCGCGTTAGAATAATCGCGGAATCGAATAATAGAGCTTAAAAGGCCCATGTTGTGTTTCGGCGCCGCCATATGAGCATTCCAACGTTGCCTCGTTTCTCCCGATTAAATATTTTTCCGAGAAAAGTTAGGAAAGTTCTTTAAACCCCCGACCATTGTTCAATCTTTTCACTTCATTTATCATCAGACGGCAAGATATCTCTTGTTAACAAACTAACCTAAATTAGCGGTAACATAAATATGCGTCTAGTTTCAAACTGTGTCCTGTTTTGCCAAACTTCTACTTTAAAATGAAATTCATTTTAAATTTGCGCATTCCTGTTAACATATGTTAAGGTTTCTGGTGGCACAATCCTCACGCCTTTTTCGCGCAATCCTCATATATTTTCTTAGACCCTTCGCGCAATCCTGGATTACCGCTTTACAGCTACGATCTAGGCTTAAGGAACCTTAATTTTGCTGTGATATTCCTCGCTCTGAAGCAAAGTTTCTTTAGTTGCCTGTTTGATCCGAGCCCATCTAAAGTCAAGGATTTCAATGCGCACAAGCGAGAGTGTCACCTGCCCACCATGCATTTACAGGGGAAAACTTTCTAACCTATTAAAGACAAAATAATCAGTGCTCTAATATCTTGTTCACTGGAAAAAAAACACATTGGATCTAGAGTCCAGACTTTTGAAAACATTGACAAGAAAAAATACTCTTGCTTCAATCGGATTTTTGCTTGAATCAAAACAAAATCCGCTTAAATTAAGAAGCTTGGTTCTTGATTTAAGCTATATTCTGATTGAATCAAGAGTACTTTTTCTTGTCGATGTTTTTAAGAGTCTGAACTCTAGATCCAATGTGTTTTTTTTTTCCATTGTTCTTAAATTTCTTAATTTTACGGTTTTTTATTTCTCACCCTAATGGCTTGTAAAGTGCCGATGATGGCTAATTGCATGGGCGGATCCAGCAATGTGGCAATACCGGATTTCCTCCATTTAAGCCCTTGTTTAATGATCGATTTCTGACCCTGTTAAGAATCGATATATGTTCATAGGTTTAAATGGAGAAAAAAAATGTTGCCAATTTGCTGGATCTGCCAATGTGCAACATTCGTATTAAATGTGTGAGTAGAAATCTTCAAAATAAGTCAAAGAATTTAAAAATATAACTCTCTGAGTGTACAAATCGTGATTTTTGAGCCACGTTCAATATGCAACTCTTTTTTTTCGCTCGGGCAAAATTTTGAAATAGACCATTCTGAAAAGAAAACTTACTGATGCTTGCACGTGATGAGTGTAGTAATCCTGGAATCCATTCCAGAAGCCAAAGTGCGTGTCGAATCCTCTGAAAGTTGGAGTATAGTTCTTTTTGTAAAAACCTAGATGCCATTTTCCGATGGCGTGGGTTTTGTAGCCGAGTTTCTTGAAGTATTGAGGCATAATTATTTCGCTAAGAGGTAGTCCCCAAGGTTCTGGCTCCATGATTAGGTTATGTTGCAAACCTGGAACATCGAACAAAGAAAAATTCACCAGCCGTTGATAATATAAACAATCACAAAAATGTTGTAGACTGGTGGCTGTAATAATTTACAAGGTGAAACATTTTGTAAGTATGGATCTTGTCAAAAGAGTAATCATAAACGGCACTAGGGACTTTTAGCGGAGGGAAGGGCGCCTCCTTAAACGGGATTTCCGGGAGTCTTCTAATTTCAAAAAGTGATCCAAGGGGCTTCTTTGTGAAAATTTTGAAAAACGAAATAGCCTCAGGAGAAATGTTGAGCTATTCATACAGAAAAATCATCAAAATACAATTTCAAAGATGAACGATACATTAAGCATCATGTAGCACAATCTCGCACTTTTCTTGAGAGGAGTCAGACAGTGTTTTTGGGGGAAGAAGAGGAGGGGCGGGTAGGCCCGCCGCACAGTAGGTCGAGTCAATAAGAGAGGCCGGACACGAAATTTTTGGCTAAAACTGCAAATTTAGATGTTTATTTCGACACATTTTAAACAAGGCGTGCCTCTTGAAGATTATTTCACGAGAAAACCACTGGAACCATTCTTAAGACCTCCAAGTTTTGTTTAAAGGGAGTTATGAGCTTTTAATGTTTCCAAATTTTGTCCGATCTACCCTATTGACTCGTTCCACTAAGCTCCGGCCTCCCAATGGCTCCGCTTATAAGTGTAATTTGAAGAAAATGTACCAATACAAAAGTGGTTCGGAGGAAGTTCGTATTTGTTTATTCCAATGGCTGAGTTGATGAATCGATTTCCATCTACATAAAAATATCGTATTAACCTTAAAATATCGGTACTTCAAAACTTATTCGGATAATCCATTTTGCTACTGATTAACTCGCAGATAGTTAATTAATAGTAAGGTTAATTGGGTAAATTTCTTCAAGGATGGCCGACGTGTTTCTTTATGACTGATCTTGACCTTAACATGTTTAGAGCGACCGTTTTGATTTTTCCTAATTAGTCACGAAACCGTTCTAAGCGACCATTGTATACTCAATTTAATGAGAGAGCACGTATGCATGACATAGAAAAATTGAAAGAGCTTCAAAAGAATCGGTCACAAGAGGCGCGGTAAATTCTCATGGAAAAAACTATCATCCGCACGTCAGCGGTTTCGGAAATAAATTTATTGGAGTAATTTTAAAAGCTGTAGCTAATGGATACAATTAAAGCGTAGAAATGTTTCAAATTAAAACGTTCAAACGGGATGAAGTTCGACTTCAAAATGATTTAGAAGAATGTTTTTAACCGATATTGTTTAACAGTTTGCTGTAATATTTGGAGGTAAAAATACCAAGAGAAATTCTTTAATCCCTGATTCATACATGTACTTTCTTCAAAAAGTATCGTAAGTCAAGTCGAGTTTTTTTTTTTAAAAAACATCCAAACAATATACCCCGTTTAGATAACGGTTTTATTTATGTCTACTTCACTGGTGCATTCCTCGATGAAAGGTCACGGCACGCATAGTAGATAACCTCGAGGTGTCGAAAACAACATTTACTTTTATTGCTCACTCTTTTTTGGAGGAAGATTGAGGAAAGTGTGCCAAATACGGTTACACGACGGTATAGCATTATTTAAAAATAATTCAATCCCATGTCATCTGGTTGCTCAGAATGACAAATAATATGTCTGAATTTGAAGTGCATGAAAGACATTAGTTCTTTTGTTTTCAAGCTTTAGGTGAAAAATTTAGCGCATGAACATGCACTATGACACTCGACGATGAAACTCCCAAACCACGTAACTCGTTTGCAGTGTTTAAAATTCTCCGCTCCTATTTTAATTATTTAAAAAAGAACAAATAAACATCATTCCTTGAAGTTTTTTCAGAATTTATTTCGCACAGAGGAGAAAAACCACGGAAACTTTGGAGCATTGACGTTAAGTAGTTCTCCATCCAAAAAAATAAAGTGTGACAGTATGTCTGGAACGTCGAAAACTGAGACACAAGGTTTGGAAGTTTCACTATCTATATTCATGATCACTAGAGATATTATTCATTCTGAAAAAATTACTTGTAGGGCCGAAAAAGTTAGGAACTGTCTGTATTGAATTTTTATTTTTGATTTTTGGTGTAGAATTATTAATTATTTCCGATATTATTAAAATGGGAAGAAATTTCAAAATTAGCAATATTTTCTACCACATTTGCAATAAATATACATACATAAATACTAGCGTTTCCTTACCTGTATGAATAGGATACTTTCCAGTGAGCAAAGCACCCCTGGAGGGTGAGCATAACGCTTCACCATAGTGCTGGTTTAGGATGACCCCACTGTAAGCTAGGGCATCAATATTAGGGGTCGGAATCTGATCAGACCCATGAAAGCTAACGTCATTCCAGCCCTGAAACCAAGAAAAGTCGTAGTGAAATATTTTGACCTAATGGACAAAAACAACACGCATGGGGGATTTATTCCTATGTAATACTTATCAAAATTCAACATTCAGGACTTTATTTACAGAACATTTTCTTCCGACTACATATGAATAGTCACATTTTAAGTCGCCATTCACAACAAAACACTGAAAAAAAAATCTCTGTGTATTTACTAGGAAAAGGGTAAAATTACCAAGAATTCAGGGTTCTATTTGATCCCAGTTATTTCTTGGTAAAATTACCATTTATGGAATTGGTAATTTTACCGTGAAATTTCGGTAAAATTATTGAACTTTCTCGGTAATTTTACTGGACCTTGGTAAAAACGCCAATTTTTTTTATCGACTGTGGTAGAATTACCGAGATGAAATGGCAAAGTTACCGGGAATTGATTACCAATAAAAGTGGTATTCTTACCTGAAAAAAACAGTAAAAATACCGGTTTTTAGGTAAGCTTACCAGTCTGTCTTGGTAAAATTACCAATAATTGGTAAAAAAAGTGAGATGGTAAAAGTACCAACGGGCCTTGGTAAAAATGCCGTGAATTTTTTTTCAGTGCTAGCTGAAAAATAAGTCAACTAGTAGTCACATTTTTACCTCTCTTTAATTGAATGACTACACTAAGTACTAACTAAAAGCAATCAAATCTGTTATTCATCTTCATGCAAGTGTTAAAAAATTGAGTTACATAAGCATTTCTTTTGTAAACAATTAGTATTTTTCAATGTATCAATTTTTTTCAGATGTTTTCAAGTTTTCGTTATTATCCAAATAGTGCAGGGAAGGGGGAAGATTAGACCAGACCCAGGGGGGTTAGACGTGATTCAAAAGGGGGAGGGGGTTGTGAGGTTGTTTTGCGGGTTCCGTAGGCATCATAGAAGGAGGGGGGGTAGAAAGTCGGTCTAAATGCTTCACATATACTTGCACGACCTCAAAACCTGTTTCATTTGAGTATTAAAAATCATTATTATCAATACTACTAAAAATAACCATAATCTTCCTCCTCTCATAAAGGCTTTCTTGTAATAAATTATAATCGTTTGTTCATTAAACAATTTTATGAGCTACAAAATTGTGCTTTGGTAATTCATACGCAGAGTTCTTTCCTCAGATAATCACAATTAACTTGATTATCATTATCGCGCTTACAAGTCACCAAGTGATCATCTTCACTACCGTGTTACGGAAGAGAGCCGTAAGTGCACTGCAGTGCTACGGAAGAACGTCGTATGAGCCTTTAGACGTTGCTATATTTCCCTCGATAAAATACGAACTTACTAGACGATTTTGAATATTTTTTTCCAATTTTTCCGACGATTTTGTTCGCGCAGTTCAATCTAAAATATTTTAAAATATCCAGGACAAATATGCACAACTTTCATCAAAAATGAATATTTTACCTTGGGAGATTTGGCAACGTCTAAAGTCTCATACGACGTTTTTACTTAGCACGGTAGTGGAGTCCAGGTTGAGCCTTGAGGCACATAAGAGCATGTGCCAACCATGGCTCATGCAGAAAAACGCTGACGGCTTTTTTCGCTATCACGTCAGTTTAGATTGTCCGCGTAAATTCTCTGAAGACCACAATGTTGTTAAGCGATAGGTATTTTCAAGAAGATTGTCGTTGAATTGTTTTTAAATCTAGTCACGACTTGAATCTCCTTGATTGGCCGTAACGGTATAGTTAACTTGCGGTTTCCTACCGCTGCGTTGACTTGAGTCGTACAGACTCTTACGGAAGATACGATTCAGAAATGTACCTCACTGATGTCATGGGTACTTTATGACGGGATCAGATGTGAGCCTCATATTACAGAAAACGTTTCGATCATCACAAACAACTCCTTCATTTGAAGATTTTTTGCGGGGCAGAATTCACTCCTCGGGTTGAGTGAGATTTTACTAAGCACATGGCAAGTTTAGGCATCGTGATGTAATTTTTCTGGCTTGTGCGGTATCGTCATGTTGTCTTAGCCACAATGACAAAATTCTTGTCACGGCAGTAATTTCTACGTTTGAGTGCATATATTTGCAAAAATTATGTGATGAAACAAAAAAGTGTTTGGCATGATCGTGAATAGGTTTTAAGGAACGTAAAATTCCTTTTTTTTCTTTAAAATAAAAAAAAAAGTATTCATATGAAGAAGAAAAATTACGGAAGTTGACGATAGTGGTAAAAATGACGTTTGGTGGTTCTCCATGTAAAAAGTAAAGTACGACAGAAAATCTGCAACTCCGCAAACTGATAAACGCATCTCTGAAGTTTCACCATCGAATAGTTCACCAAAAAAAAGTATGGTAGATTTTACCATATTCTGACTCGGTAATACGAGTATGGTAATAAGCACCAGACTTTACGGTAGTCTGCACCATATTATAATAAGTATCACCAGATTTTTGGTGAATTCTACCATAATTTTGGTTATTTTCACTAAAAAGTATCAATGTGTAAAAATAGAGTAGACTTATAGTAGATGTTACCATAATTTTTTCCCCCGTGATTCCCTTCGGTTTAAAGTATACACGAATCTCAAAATCTCACGAAATTTACAAAATTAAGAAGACCCTATTTAGTTTGTAACTTTTCTCAGTTTTCGATTGACTTTTTAAGTAAATATTAGGGGACATTTTTGCACATTTGCAGGAAATATCTTTGAAAAGGCCAAAAATCACATACAATCCTATGAAATATTATGTATGATCAGTTGCTTTTTGAAAAACAAAACACGTGTTCTCCCGGTTACACTATCGCAAAGATACGCGTGCGAATACTGTTTTCTGGAGATTAATATAAGACGACGCGACGTTACAACGTCGCCTTTCTGACTTAAAGGCGTATCTCTATTTTCACATGAGCCCCAGGAAGCATAGAGTAATACGGAGAACAGAGCTCACGTGGATATTGGGATACGCCGTTGCGTCAGAGGAGCGACAACAAGAAGGAGGGAAACTTAGAGGCGTATGTGTGATGCGGTGAGCTATCTAATTGTATCCCAGTCTTAATTACATGGGAAACGACTGGCGAGGAAGCGCTGTCAACTCCTCGTTGAAACCAGTGAATTGAATGAGATGGCACACCATTATACTCACCATCGCGTGAATCACCTGTTGAAAACGATAGTAAACGGATATTTTTCAGCCTAAGTATTCTGCTGCGAACATCGCGGGGACGTTAATAAGGTTTACCTACTCAAACCTTGCTTGTTTTAAGGTTGTATGTACAGTCAATTTTTATATTGTTAGTTGCCTAAGAGAGGCTAATGACTAATATTATAATTGAGAGAATTATTCTACGGGTCGGCTCTTAAACATATCTCTTCAAGCGGGGCTCCTTACACTTTAAGTCGTGATGAAGCAGAGTTTAAGGTAGTTTTAATCATGTTTTAGAAGACCAATTTTGATAAATTTCAATTAAATTTAAAACAATTATCTATAACATGGTTAGGAACAGGAAGGTAATGAATAATTTTTAAAAAAGGTTTGAAAACAACAGTATAAATTGAGGTAAATTTGGCAAATTTTAAGGTAAATCCGTATTAACCTAAAATTATTTTAAGCTAAGTAATACGCCGTTTTTTTAATATATGTTTTTTTTAAAAAAATTTACGGTGGGATATAATTTTCCTTTCCTCTTTTTCGCTTTCGTGAAGTGGGCTCAGCCCCCCCCCCCCCCAAAGAATGACACGTATTGCATGAGCGGCCACTGAAGTTAATATAGGAATTTACAATATATACTTTTCTAGAGGTAACACAGTAGAACTTCAACTCGAAATTATTTCGAAATGTGTCTTAAATTCCATTCTTACTTTCATACCCATGCGTTAAAGTCACCGCGAATGACGTGAAGTCTCATTGAATAACGAAGACCGCCATCAAACCCATTTGACCCTTTTCCTCCCCCACATGAATCATGAATGCATCCACCGCACTGTGTCTACTTTCATACCCATGCGTTAAAGTCTCCAAGTCTTTTTTGCTAACAAGAAATTATCAGCTCACGCTGTATTGTCATCCGTCATCTAACCTTGTTAGTCCGTTCTTATGCATTTTCCCTTGACCCTGCAGAGTGTGTAACAGCGCTGAGAAAGCCCGAGAGCTAATATTACAGTATTAACAATATTATATGGGTCTTTTTGGGGCGAGGTGATGGGCCTGTTGCTAACTTCAGTCAAAGCAAAAATAAGAGTTATTGCTTGTAGGAAGAGGCTAAAAATCGCGATGAGCGCATCAAGAAAGTCTGAAATGGACGTATTTCTGTCAAACGGAACCATGTGCATTATGACGTGGGCCCTGATATGCCTATACAGGGTGTTCCAAAAGTCCAGCCCCCCCCCTCTAACTTTTAAACGGTTCGAGATAGAAAAATGAAACTTTGGGAATGTCTCTCTCTCAAAGAGGACCATCTTTTAGGGTGGTCAACATTTTTGCTCCTCCTTAAGGGGGAGGGCGGGGGGCCCCCAACTCTTTTTTTTTCAAATGGTAACCCCTATCTTGTGACACATCATTGAAAAGTACTTTAAAAATTAAGACTTTAGGCGCAAACTGCAGATCAGTATCTTAATTTTTGACCGAGTTATGATGGGTCAAATGTCAAATTTGACCTCTTTTCAAAAAATCATAACTCCAGTTCAAATTACCGTAAAGAAAAAAATAAAACGGGAAAATTTACCAAATTGTGTTCGCTTTTGAGTAAAAATTGCAGAAATCACTTCGAACTAATTTTAAGGGGGGGGGGGTCGGACCCCCAAATACGTCAATTCAACGGTCATTCAATTTTCCCGCGAAATAAGCCAATTTTCCCTAGATTTGCATCCACATTATCTCAGTAGGGTCAAAATCAGTTCAACATTACGTTGGCAAGTTCCCAAATTTCGGGAAAAGTTAAAAAAAACGAAATGTAAGGTGATTAAATTTGACCGTTTAAATTTCGTTTTTTTGACCTTTTCTCGAAATGCACAAAAGAGTGAGAAAAAAATGTCTACTCACCAAGTCATCGGCAACGATGATGACGATGTGCGGGGGTTTGGGTCTCTCCTGGGTGGCCGGGCTGGAGGGGGAGAGGGCGGCCAGGCCCAGGATTCCGACTCCGAGAAGATGGAGCTGGATGCTCATGGCGCCGCCGGCCGAGCGGCGCTCGCATTGGTGCCGGCGTCGCGGCAGTCAAGGTCGCGCCGGAACCTGAAACCAAAGGGCGCCTGTTAGTCTGGTCAAGGTGCTTTGAGTAACGCATCAAGAAAATATCCAAATAAGCGTGCGTCAAACAGACGGATCACGGAAAAAAAGTATCACAATCCCAATCGGATTGCATTTTGCAAAAAGGAACCAGAAGCATTGCATTGTTGCTAAGATTGTGCAACTTCATCCTTTGCAATAAAATTAATGAAATCATGAATAAATGTGAAATTTACATGTTAATTTTTGTCTTAAATTTACAGTCTTAGCGAGTAAAATCAATGGATAATTAGGTTTTTCTTCCAATACAAAAGAAGTTGCACAATCTTAGCATTTTCGCAATGCTCCTGGTTCCTTTTTGCAAAATGCAATCCAAATATAATGCCGTGTTCAGGCCCGCCACAAGGGGGGGGGGATACTGGGTCACTGGTACCGGGGCCCGTTTTACCCGTGTAAAACCACTACGTGTAAAACTCACATGCAACCCTTGCTTCGTAAGAAAAAATGAAAAGTTTACCCTAAAAATTTCGCAAAAGAATAGATTTTCAGAAACACGCTAGGGCACTGTAGAATTCTTCTTAAATTTTCAAAAAAGTATACTTCCTGGAAAATTTCTATCTATTTTCAAGATTTTCAGTACAGAGGGATATGTTTGGTAACTGCGTTTCATTTTCTTCCATCGTCAGATGCTAAGAGTCTGCAGTCTGGGCATCCTCGACTTCAATGGCTCATGACTCAACTCCCTTGCCATTAACAAACGAAGTGGGAGTCCGGGGGAGCCTGGCTCTCTTAGAACTGAAAATAGTATCATGCCCCCCCCCCCAAAAAAAAAAATAAAAATTTTCCAGATGCTTTGAATGCAACAATTCGCAAGTATTTTGTGCAGAAAGTAGAAAAAAAAATAATTATTCCGCAGAAATTGATGAAAAAATTCTTTATGGAAGCTTCAAAATGCGTCCGATTAGTCGTATAAATTATAAAATTTCTCGGGGGATGCCCCTAGGAGATTTTAATCCTCGTAGAAAAACCACCCATTTCGTAAATACAATTCTACCTGAAGCGCACTGCAGCTATGCATTCACCACTGCAAAAATTTCAGAGGCATTTCGCATTTCTAAGGCGCAATGATACAACTATTTGAACTCTCCGGAATGCGTGAGGTATCACGCCGCATTTGAAGCAAAACGCCAAGCAAACGATGGATTCGTACGGTAAGGAACAAATTGACAAACAAATTTAAACTTGCAAAGAGACAATTTTCTTGGATTTTTTCCAAAAAAATGTAAAAATACATCTGCAACAAGAATTAAAATCGGTCATATTAACCGTAATCATTTTTTAGGACAAAAATTTTGAAATACATGTACATATAAACTTTATGTGACCAAAATTTCCTCTCAATTTGTTTCTATTTTTACAACAACAGATACCCCCCTTTTGTATTTTTACTTTTTTTATTGGAAAAAATCCAAGAAAATCGTCTCTTTGCATGTTTAAATTTGTTTGTCAATTTGCTCCTTACTGGTCGACTCCATCCGGAGATTGCAAAATTGGCTTTGAAGAATGTACCGATGCAATTTTCGTCGAAAATGTCTCCGATATTTACATGCGATTAGAAGAAAAATCAGTGAAATTTTTGAAGTATAAACTTTACGTAACCGAATTTTTCTCTCAATGTGCTTCTATTCTTACAACTACAGATATCCCCCTCATGTATTTTCCACTGAGCAAAAAAGTGTGAACAAGATTATCAGTGTGCACGGGTTTGATGGCCACGTGTGAGTGCGGCTTTTGTGTCTTCTTGGAGGCGGTACTAGGCACGAATTTAGACTGCACGAGAGAGGAAATTAGTCAGAGGAAAAATCCGGGGTGCATCACGCGAGCTGGAAAAGTGATTTTTTTGTCGGTGTTGATACCACAGTGATTACTGCGCGCGGCCGTGATTTCTAATTAATTATAGCGTCTCGACTCCACGATCTCGGGAAAAATTAACTTCCTCTAAAAATATCCTGCTCTCACGACGAATTATTCGATGCGTGACTGAGGAACGCATGAAAAATACGCCACATTTTGAGATTTTTTTGGTTGCGTCTGTGGGTTTATGGACTGAAAAAACAAATGGTACACCGAAAAAAAGTGATGTTGATTTAACATCCTGGATGTAAAAAAATGTGCAAGAACGTTCAAAATGCTGAATTAACACTACAGCAGTTACTTTAGCATATTTTTCTTTGAAATTTTCAGATATTTGAAATTAAATTGCGTACAAAATGGTCCGAAAATTTTGGCAATCAATATTCGCAAGCAATCTTCCCAGGAAATTCGGATTCCATCGGAAGAAACTTGACAACGTCTGAAGGCTCATACGGCGTTCTTCCTTAGCACGGCAGTGAGCCTACTAGTTAGTTTTTTACTAACCTCCATTGACCATTCCAACCACTCACATCCACCGATAAGATTGCTCCATTTCCCCTTATTCTTCTTTGTCCAAAGGTATGTCTATCAATTTCAACAAGCAGCTCGCTGTTCACTGGAAAAAAAACACATTGGATCTAGAGTCCAGACTCTTGAAAACATTGACAAGAAAAAATACTCTTGATTCAAACGGATTTTTGCTTGAATCAAAACGAAATCCGCTTAGGTAAATTAAGAGGCTTGGTTCTTGATTCAAGCTAGATTCTGATTGAATCAAAAGTAATTTTTCTTGTCGATGTTTTTAAGAGTCTGGACTCTAGATACAATGTGGTTTTTTTTCCTCAGTGTTGACCATTCCAACCACCCTCATCCACCGATAAGATTGCTTCATTTCCCTTATTCTTCTTTGTCCAAAGGTATGTCTATCGATTTCAACGAGTAGCTCGCCGTTCGGTTCGCGAAACCGAGGTTTGTTTTCCTCCGCAGTGCAGAGCTAAGAGGATAGAGGTCCTGCCGTGTCGTCCTGTTTGATGCAACCGAGCAAGCGTTTAACGTTGCGTCACTTGCATTTAGCCGAATTTTGGGACAATGTCAAGAGTCACTAAATACCTTACGCTGTCACAAATATCGTTGTTTCTCCGACGACGTTGGGGCGTATCTAGATATCCACATGAGCCCCAAAAAGCATGGATGTATACGCTAAACAGGGTCAATGCGGGCATTGAGATACGCTGTTACATCAGAGGATCGACTAAATATGGCCACATGCCGAGGCTCCCCCTGAGCTTCGGTCGACTAAAAGCGTTTGTGCTTCTCAGTTGCAAAATTTTAGGCCCACTTTACGCAGCTTAACCGAGATGAGTGGAGTTGTTTTGATTGTTTGCATGTTGCAAAATTTTGCCGATAAAATACCGACTATTGTCATTCTCTACACTAAAAAAAAAAAGATTGGTAGAATCTACCATTCCTTCACGCTGTATTTCACACAGCGTCACTGCAGAGTCAATTCTGCCGGAAGAAAGGTAAACGTTACCATATACTGGTATAGGTAAACTGGACTGCATTTTGCTATTTGAAGCTATGAATTCTCTCTCATCTGAAAAAACACGTATGTGCGTAGGGAAACTAATGGCTCATACGTTGTTCTTAAACCGGACCAGAATGTATAGTTCCAAATTGCAAAATGCAGTCCAACTGGAGTTAGGTTAGGTTGATCATTCCTCCGGCGGAATCGATTTTGAATTCACGCTGTGTGTAATACAGCGAGAAGGAATGGTAAATTCCACCAATCTTTTTTTTTCAGTGTTGCTATACACGCACCAAAAATTCGGCATCATGAATTGAGCGTTCATCATACTACCTTTTCGGTTCATCAACCTAAATTTTCAGCTGCTCGTGCAATCAAGCACACGGTTCATGTGACCAAACTTCTTTTGTCAGCTCATAGGCTCGGTTACACAAAACGAAAGTTCAGATTTTAATTTTGAAAACTTGAGTGATTTTCTGCTCTCATAGTAAAAAAAAAATTATATATTCGATTGGGTTCATGGTCCGGTATTAAAATTAGGTATGAGGATCACTCAAAGACATGAAGACGGAGCGCTCGTATCTAAAAGCACGGGGAAAAAGTGAAGCTAGGTTCGGCGCTGCGCGCTTGTGTGAGTGTGTAAATGAGCGCGGGAATCCATGGCGGCAAACGGAAATTTGATTTGAACTTGTCCTCTTGATTTTTGCACATTTCTTCTTTGAAACGTATTTTAAATTCCTAAAACGAATATACTAAGAAAGTTCGGTCTGCGTCCTAACATAATACACCTACTTTTGCTCGGTAACAGGCAGTAATCTCACATAAAGTTAGTTTTTCTTCTGCTCATGGTGGTTCTGCAGGTTCAAACAGGCCGTTACAGTTCTAGATCAACGTTACTCCCAAATGAAATTAATCGGTCGACGACGGACTGAAACTAACCTAAAGTTCAAAAAATATGAGTGTGTACCTGAATTTGGGCAAAAATCAACCTAAAATACTTTGTTTCCGCAATTTTATTTATTAGTTCCCGCCCTACATTTGAATTCAAACTTGTCCCGATTTCGCCGCCAATCCTCTAGCCAATAGTAGAGGTGATTGAAAAGAAGCTCTAGAAGCTTCATTTTTTGCTTTTAGTGCTCCGTCTTTATGTCTTTGGGATCACTCCACCAGCATTACACAGATTGGTTAACGAATAGGAGGTTTTAATTTTATATTTACTTTTTTTGTGTACGAGTGTTGACCGATAGTAAAATACTCTCTAAGCTGCACCAAGTGCAACCGCCAAATAGGTAGCGTCACGAAGTGAGTACACGAAGAAAAGAAATCAGTGCATCGCGTGCTATTCCTTTCTTCTTTTTTAAAAAGGATGCTCAAAATTTTGCCGCAATGGACCACTAGACAAGGTACGAATTTAAGCGATCTGATACATGTTTCCTGGTCAGAATTTCACGTAGAGCACGATTCGCACAACGAAAATTACTGAAACCAATTCCTAACGAAGATATTAACGTTTTTATTTCACATTGGTTACGAGGAATTTGAACTGCCCGCTGACAAGAAACTC